CTAAAGATATATAAGTACATTGAGGTTGTGCACCTATACTGTCACCACAGCTTGTATAATTCCCACAGAGTGGTATATGAAATTTGTCCCGAATGACCACTATGCCCCGAAGGACCACTCCTTAAGAACCATATACATATTCTAATGACCCAATAAGTGTACCAAAGTACCGCATACATGTTCCAACGATTATATATATGTCCCGAAGGACCACGTAGAACCCTCGACTCTTGGCATGCCAACTATACCTCTAGCTCTCATGACACATAACATGGGCATTATCATTTATATTTGCCACATATTCACATATTCTTTTCACTTAAGCATATATCTTATGAACATGTAATCATATCACTTCTTATCACATAGCTCATAGTCATATGGTTTATCTCATAAACATATATTCACATATACATGTTCTCATATAATTCATATCATATGGCTTAATTTTCATGATTATATGATCATTTATATGTATACCACATAGCTTATATTCCAGGTTCATGACCTCACACAATTCAATTATATCATTTAACATAGCTTATCACACAGACATGCATTCACATAACTCATTTAACATACATAGCATAACATGTAACTCATGCAATAACTTATGACACATACACTTACATTCATATGCTCTAACATGGAAAATAAACTTATCACAAGTTTTATTTTCATCAAATTTCATAGATATAATATTATGCACTCACCTTAGCCTCACTAGTCCAAGTCATGCACTTATCTCTTTCTTACTCGATCTCATCTCGTTGACACATCAAATACTTGCTTCCGATTAACATCCACACAATTATACGACTTCCATAAATATCAAAGTTCGAATCGTTTATAACCAATCAATAAAACGTAAGCTGAAAGAAACACTTAACTTATCATTTTATACTCAATAGTATCAGTATTTCCCATATAGTACCGATATTACTCTTCTATGGTATCCATACCCCTCCTTGGTACCGATACCATTTTTACATTCAATATTTGCAACTTGATAATGGTATCGATACTAGATACTTGGTATCGATACCCCTTCAACCAGTACCATACCACCCACTAGGTATCGATACTTCTTAAAGATTTCATCCAATTATATCATATGGTATCGATATTGTTCCTTTGTATCGATACCCCAAGCTCAATTCCTACTTATTTTACTTTGAAGTATCGGTACTGGATGAACAGTACTGATACCCCATACTCAGAAATTATTTATTTTAACCCAAAAATCACTCAGACTCAGCTAAATTCTTCTACCATAACCTTCTTTTAACCCTTTAAGCTTAATAACACTTGTTCAAATCAACTTCGATCTCTTTAATTCATCCTTATATAAAATATCCTACATACACACTTGAATTCTATAATTATGCCAATAAATCAACATGTTCCAAATTCATTTCTAACACTTCATACTTCTTAATTTAACTGATGACAAGTCAATTTTAATCTCAAATTCCACTTACCAACCCTCTTCCAAGATTTCACTTATAAACCTCTTATCTTTAATATATCCTAACTTATCATTCTTTTAGTTTCTAAATTCCTTTAAGTTTCCATAGTCTTTCTCTATACTCTATCAATCAAAACCAATCCTTAATTGAAAGAAAACCAGCTGAAAAATCAAACTCACCTTAGCTGAAGAGTTCACGTTGAGAGGAGGAAGAAGAGTGAAGATATCTCAGGAAATCTCTCTTTTCACCTTTATCCTAGCTCCACGTGGTATTTAATATCACCATAAGGAATTTTTAATTTCTTTACTTGTCAAATGATTATTTTCCCTTACATTTTTCATTCTTTCCCAATTAATCCAAGCCGAAGAATTACAATTAAGTCCCTAAACTTTTCAAATTTTCCTAATTTGATCACTAAATTTCAAAAACTTCTATTTTAGTCACTAGCCCAGTTTTTGGGATGTTACAACCACATCCTGAAAGGTAGTCAGACTAGTTGTCAACAAAAGTTCCCTCAATCTAGGGGAAAGACCTCGAATAACTTCTATCTCCGAAGCATATCGGGCGAGCTTATTAAACTCACTCTCATATTCATAAACATATATGTTTCCCTGGATCAAATTGAAAGAGTCTTGCTTCATCCTAATAATAAAATGCTCTCCAATATATTTCTTCTGGAAAGCCTCCTGGAAAAACTGCCAAGAAATCTGATCTGAAGGGACACATGTCGTAACATTTGTCCACCAAATACTGACATGTCCTCTCAACAATGAAACTACACATTCCAATCGTTCTTCATCAGAACAATGAAGACTGCCCAACATAATTTTTACATCATTCAGCCACATATCTACCATAACTGGGCCTTCATTTGCTTTACCTTTAAATTCAGAAGCTCTCAGACTCTTTAATTTTTTTGGAATTGACACTCTCGGAGCTGGAGGAACAGGATGTATAGGCGTAGGAATGGGAGGTACTGTAGTTGGCTGATATCTTGCTAATGTAGCCTTAAGAGCTTGTAGGAAAGTCCCCTGATCTAGAGCTGACATCCTTTGTTGTGCCGTGCTCCCTACTGCTGAGGTTTATGCTCAACCTCATTACTACTTCCACTATCGGTTCCCTCAGGAACCTCTTGTTCGATAGCTCTTCTAGAGCCCTCCGCATTCGACATCTAACCGCAAACACATAACATTACGTTAGTAAGGAGAACATCCTAAATAAAATCATCAGACCATACCAGATCATTAAATTTTGACATCCTAGTGGCATGTACATATTTCTGATATAAAATAGGCTCGATTTAGGCCAGAGAATCGGCTAAACCTATAGTTCTGATACCAATAAAAGTAACACCCTTAACCCGTATACGTCTAGATATACGAGCCAAAGATGTCACATCAACTTATAAACACTTATTGAACTGAAATTTACATAAAAAATTGTTTCATTTTAAAACACTTCTATTTTAACTTTAAAATCTATTTTATGAATATCTCAACTTATAAATAATTTCAATGTCATAGGAAAATAAATTCATTTATTAATCAACAATTTTACCAAACCATGTCTTTTCATGAAATCTTTTTAAAATATAATAATATAATATGTTATTTTCATGCATAAATATTGATAAAATTAAACTAATGGTCTGGTTGGTTGGGGAAAAACATTTTATGAAAAATATTTTCCTTGTTTTTCTATGTTTGGTTCCCGTAAAACAAGAGGGTCAACTTATTTTGTTTTACGGTATCTCTCTTTTCATATTCTCCCTTTTCATCTTCCTTGACCTCCTTTTCTTGTTTCATCTTCCTTGACCTCCATTTTCATTTTCACCGACGAGGCAGAAATCAGATCTGTCATTGAAGTCCGCAATGGCTCCACATTTCTTGATCTAATTGTTGCTCAGATTCAGGTTATAAATTTTCCTTCCCTTATAAGTTGTTGATTTTCGTTTGTCTTATGTTATAAGATGCAGCTCATTTGAAAACCATCTTTTTCTTTGTTTTGATCAGAATCTTAATACGGAATATGGATGTAGCGTTCCATAGGTGCTGATGAACTCATTCAATACCCATGATGACACAATGAAGGTTTATTTCTGCATTTATATAACTTTTTCCTTCACCTCAACTGATTTATTTTTCTTGTCATCAGCATTCGATCTATTTTTCATATAATTATTGTTCAATGCAGATTGTCGAAAATTACTCCAATTCAAACGTTAAAGTTCATATTTTTTAATCAGGTTTAGAAATTGAATTTCACCTTCTCAAGATTCAATTTAGACTCAACGACATAAAACATAGATCCATTTGTTGTATTCTATTTTCTCTGATTTCTCCCCTCATTTCTTGGATATTCATAGAGCCAATATCCTCATCTGGTGGCTGAAGATTTTACTCCATTTCCTTGCAAAGTGCTGCCTGGAAAGGATGGATGGTAAACTTTGTTGCTCTATCTCCTTCTTTTAATCTAGTCCCTCAATTACAGTAAGGATGCATGGCAATCTTAAATGCTAAACTACAGCTAGACGAACAGTAATTTAAAGGGCCTGAAGATTTTACTTCATTATCCGTTGTGATTACTATTTTTGAGCTGCTTAGCTTCATCTGAATTACTATTTGCTTCCCAACTTGTAAGAACATTGTAAGGTTTTGAAGCTTTGAATTGGTTTTAAAAAGGGGTTGATGTATCATAGATGTAAAGTGGTTAGTCTTCATTCAAGAAAGTATGGGGAGTTCATGTGGCATTAATATTTAGAGTTTCAGAATAGTCTTATAGAATTTATATCTGAGCCATAACCCATTTATAAGAGAAGTGTTATTGTCTTCGTTGTATCCAAAACTGAGCTACGAATTTACATATATTTTTTGTTAAATGATGTATGTTTCTTAGTTAAACGCATTCACAGGATAATTGTCATAGTTTTAGAAAATGAAGTAAAAGGTTTTCCCTGTATTCTTTATGCTGTAGTGGTGGATGAAATTATTGGACTGATTCTCAGCCTCTTCTATATTTTCTATAATGTTCAAAACACTCTAACTTTTGATTTTTCTTCACTTATTGCTTGAACAGGTTTCATTTTGAGTTTCTTGTTCAATATGGTAATCTCTTTACTAGAGCTTTTCTTTTCTGGATGAAGGTATCCTCCTGGTCATGGTGACGTGTTCCAATCTCTAATGAACAGTGGCAAGCTTGATACTTTCTTATCAGAGGTTATGGCTGCAATGCAATGTGATTTTTTTCCAAAACATTTGGAGCATAGGCATAAATTATTTCTGGTAACATATTTGTGTTTCTTTGTTCGTACGGGGCAAGGAGTATGTGTTTGTTGCCTACTCAGACAACTTGGGTGCTATAGTTGACTTGAGTATCCTCATTTTGGTTTCCAATGAATTCAACTTGTTCGTTATTAGTCACGCACACACTCTTAAGACATGAATCTCAATTTTTTTCTTTCTGGCAATGTTAGTCCTTAAAGGGACTCTAGAAATCTTGAATCATTTGATCCAAAATAAGAATGAATACTGTATGGAGGTACAGCAAGAGAACTATAATCTGTTCTATTCGGTTTCCCTAGCTTTCTGATTATTGCTACATTGCTTCTTCTTTTTTTGTAGGTGACACCCAAAACCTTAGCTGATGTGAAGGGAAACAGTGCTATTTCTTATGAAGGAAAAGTTCAGGTATGAAATGAACTCTTATTTGCATTTAGAATTTGTCTTTCAATCCTATCTCCTTTTATTAACAAAAGTATATCTGACGTTTTAAAGATAAACTACCTATCTTACTTTTAAGCATAGGAATGTGGAGTAGAATTACTACTGATTTATAAGTGCCATAGGTAGACTTTTAGAGTATAATTACTGGTTCACATTTTTTATGATAATGGCTTACTGGCTTGGTAAACAAATGCATAAACAACCACATACTTTCTAAAACTTTATTAATGGATTTTCCTATTGCAGAATAAATAATAATTATTGTTGTTTTTTTAGATTTTTGTACTGCATAATAAATTAACATTATTATTGGTTTTCACTACTGCAAAATAAAAAAAAAGTTTTGAGTTATACTTGAATCTCCATATCATTAGAATAATGGAAAAGCTGGAGTTATTTCTGAAGAAAATAACTTATTGCAGTTAAACCAGAAGAATTTGCTGCTTAAGCTTTTGTCCATAGCTGATTATCTTGGTTTATTTTTTAATTTTGCGAACATGCTGAAGATACTAATTTTTTACTCATATTGATTTATTATTATAATTATTATAATTACTATAAATATTATTATTATTATTACTATAAATATATTATTATTATTATTATAATATTATTATTATTATTATTATAATATATACATAAATAATATTAAAAAATTACAAGCCCAGTTAACCGGCCCAAACCAAACCGAAACCCTAAACATTTAGGGTTTCAGTTAGGTTTCTCTAACCCTAGCCGCCTCTGCCTCCAGCCGCCTCTGCCTCCAGCCGCCTCTGCCTCCAACCGCCTCAGCCAACGGTCAAGCTTCCAGACGCCTCTGCTGCCAGTGCCACGCCTCCATCGAAGCCTCCAGAAGACCCAGATGGCCACCCAACGTAGCTACTCTAGCAGTGAGTCACCACTGGGAGTCCGGTGACTCACCGAATTCTATTCTTCGGACCGGTCCGAGATGAGCACCGGTGATGGCTATAAAGCCATCACCCAACCTGCAAAGAAAAAAAAAAGAGTGACAGAGAACAACAGATCCCAGAGAGACAAAAACCGAGAGCAAAAGATACAAAATAGAGACCAAATCACAACAACCAGCAATCAAAAATAGAAGAAGAGGGAGGAGAGAAGCTTACCGAGGAAGCCACGACCACCGGAACCCTCCAAACGTCACCAACAACCTTCGAAAACCGAAGGTATTTTCCTAGATTTGCTCCGATTGGGAGCTTTTTAGGAGAAAATAACACCGGATAAAAGGCATTGATCCTTGTGTTAATTGTCTCATTGGAAAGCCTTCATCAATGGATAAAAAAGGTTCAAATCAAGTAATTCTAAACTCAGAAACAGTGGCTGAGGATTACAAAGACAAGAAGGAGAAAGTCTGCGGATGATTATGTATCTGACTTAGCCAGTTATGCTCCAGTTTCGCTAAAAAGAAATGATATGCAAGATTTGCGAAGTATTTGGGAAAGTTGGGATTCAAACAAAAAATTGCAGTTTTATCAGACTTACGGAGACATCCCATATTTGCTATATGTTGAGTTGATGATAATTACTCAGAGCCATAATCCAATTCTGGAATCCATGGTACAATTGCTTTACTCTCATAAAGAGGACTTGGTCCCTACTATTGAAGAGTACACAACTTGCTACATATCGAAGGGGCTTTGGAGAATCGAATCTATTCAAAGTCAATTAAAACTCAACCATTTCGAGTTAAATTAGCAAAGATTGCCGGGGTACGAGAAGAATGGGTGGCATCCCGTACAAAACAAAAAGGCGAAAGCGAAGGCATTGCTTGGACCAATTAAGAACTTATTCAGAGCCATCCAGATATTAAAGTACGATTCGATTTATTTGCTCTGGGTATGTATGGTATGGTCATCTTCCCAAAAGTATTAGGATATGTTGAAGCTGCAGTGGTAGATTTGTTTGAACAGCTACCGAAAAAGATTAATCCTGCTTCTGCAATTCTAGCAGAGACCTTCAGATCGTTAAATGCTTGTAGAAAGCTAGGAGGTGGACGATTCTCAGGGTGTACCCAGTTGTTATATGTTTGGATCCGTAGTCATTTTTGGAGGACAGAAAAGGTTTCATACCAACGCTTTAATACGGATTACTCACCATTAAAAGAATTTCTGGAGCAAGAATGGCCGAAAGAAATTAAGAAAGATATGTGGATTAATGCCTTTCGAAATCTGCAAAGCAATGACATTGTTTGGCGAGCCCCATGGCAAATCCAAAGAGAATTCTTTTACAAATATGGAGATTACAATTGGATAATGCTGCTCGGATTATGGGGAGGAATTGGATATGCACCACTTCTGGTCATAAGACAGTATGAAGGTCGTCAATTTATACCTGTCACTGCTGGATTACAGTCATCTGAGTTCGCATTACACAGCAAAAATTATAAAAGAAATATCATGGAAGCCGTTACAGCTTGGAAAACAACTTTTTGTATCCGAGCTAAAGCAGCAAAAGAAATGTTAACTCCTGATTATGAGGAATGGAGATATGTCAGGAAAAATGAAAATATTCCTCTACCAGATCAAAATGAGGATATCTCTATGGAAGATCGCATTAAGGTGGTTCCATCAGAGATTGAAATCTTGAGAGCTGAGTTTGAAGCAGAAAGAGAAGGCTGGTCGAAAGAATTAGAGCAAATGAGACAAGATAAAGCTATGTTGGGTGTTGACATTGACTTTCATTCATCACAATGTGCAATGTGAGAAAGATAAAGAAAAAGTTGATGATGAATTCAGAGCATTACAGAAAAATTACCAGGAGTTATATAAATCCCGGAAAGCATCAGGATCAAGCCAGGCAACAATACAAATGACCAGAGAATTGAACATCGAGAAAAGACGAGTTGAAGATCTGAAAGGAAAGAATAGTCGTCTACTCAAAAGCCTTGAGAAAGGAAAGCAAAAAATGAAAGATTTTGAGGTTGACAGAAGAGAGCGAATTATAAAAAGCAAGGCTGAACCGCGATCATAAATGAAATGCAAAGAGAAAGGAATCGAGCCAAAGATTTAGAAGAGATGAAGAATGACATCTTTGATAAATTTGAAGGTGAGAAAAATATCATGTTCAAGGGATTTGAATCTGAAATGAACCAGCTGATTGCTGAACTTGAAGTCAGAGGCCAAAAGATGGAAGAATACAATATTGAAAAAGAAAAATGGGAGCTGGAAAGAAAAAACTTCAACACCAGACTTGAGGTAGAGCATGAAGTGGCTAGCAATTGGATGCAAAGATGCATAAATAAGAATGTTCAAATCCAGAAGCTTAATCAAAGAACGCAAGAAGCACGAACAAAACTTGAAGAAGATCTGGATCAGTCTAGAAACAAAAACTCAGAGTTTAATGCTTACATTTTGCACTTGAAGAATCGTTGTTTCAAGAAAAGGTTCATCTAGGACCTAATGATCTCAAAGAAAGTAATGAAGAAAGTGCTTCACTGCGAAGACGCATTAGAGATCTTGAAAAATTCTGCACAATTGTCAAGTCAGAATCACTGAGTTAGAGCAAACTCTTGAAGGAACGAATGAACAATGGCAAAAGTCAACTGATTTCTAGTGAAAGAAGTGAAGAAAGAAGTAATATGGTGTTCGAGGCCATGGTACAAATGAGCGAAGTTGCTAGATATGTTGGGGAACTAGCTGTTGAAGCCAAAATAATTGAGCACGTTGATCCAGTTTCTAAGTGCGGAAAGAAGGTGTCATGGTTAATTAAAGAAATATAGAGCTTAATAGGAAAGCTACACTTATCTGTAGTTATGAATTATTATAAAGAAACTTTTGTATGCCGATGAAAGTTGTTCTATGACAGTTAACTTTTTGGGATCAATACCTTTTTGCATACATACATTTTGCATACATTCATCATTCATTTCATAATTTTCTTTATGAATAACTTTATTGTTTTATTTTATTTATTAAGATAAAATTCATTAATTAAATTTGGAAAAAAATAATATCAAAAGATTTTCAATCGCAGTTATTCTGGCCAAAAGAGAAATACAACATCACTACGGTACTAGACAGCTACTAAGAGAATTATGGAAGATAAAATACAACGTATTGAGGAACAACATAATAAAGAACAAGCAGAAATGAGAATGAAGCTAGAAAATTGAAGCCAATATTGCAATTCACAAGACAGTATGATGCAGAAATAGAGGACATGTTTAAAAAGGCAATCATTGGAAAAATGCATGAAAATCCTGTATCTTTCGATCAAGAACCTATGTATCCTCTAGGTTTTCCACCAGAACCAATTTATCATTCTGGTACTACACCTATACAAATCAATGCTCGTACATCTGCATTACAAGAAGCCAAACCACATGAAAATCAACAAGTGGATCCTGCATCTTCAAGCAAAAATCCGCTATATCAGATGTGAAAATAGGGATCTTAATACTGAGCATTTAATTCCAGATTTGAATGAGCTGAATGAGAAACAAAAAGTAAATGAAGAATTGCCAGACAGATCAAGAGCTTAGAAGAACGAATGAATCCGTGGAAATAACTGAATTCTATGGGTTGATGCTAGTGAGTTGAGTTTGGTTCCAGACTTAATCCTCCCCATCAAATTCAAAGCTGAATGAATTGATAAATATGACGGTACTACATGCCCTTCATCTCACATTACTATGTTTTGTCGCAGAATGGCAGATATGTGAAGGACGAGAAATTGTTAATCACTGCTTTCAGGATAGTTTGACAGGACCGGCTTTAAAATGGTATACTCAATTGACCAAAGCCAACATTAGATCCTGGAAAGATCTGGCTAAAGCATTTTTAGAGCAGTATCGCCACGTAACAGACATGGTTCCTGATAGATGGACTCTCCAAAACTTGGAGAAAAAGAATAATGAAACATTTAGACAGTATGCCCAGAGATGGCGTGATACAGCAGCCCAAGTTCAACCACCTTTGTCAGAAAAAGAGGCCACAGTAATATTTGTC